AGGAGGAGGAAGGATGATGAGGTGTAGGTGTAGGTGTAGGAGGAGGCGGCGGAGGAGGAGGTGGTGGATGCGGAGGCGGAGGAGGAGGAGGAGGAGGGTGGGATGGAGGTGGAGGAGGAGAAGGAGTTGAAGCAGGAGGGTGAGGTGGAGGAGGATCAGGATTAGGAGGAGGAGGAGGAGTAGGAGGAGCAGAAGGATGTGGTGAAGGAGAGGGAGGTCGTGGTGGATGGGGATGGGGAGGAGGAGGAGGAGGAGGAGGAGGAGGAGGAAGAGGAGGTGGATGACGATGGCAACGACGAGGGGTCCCAGGTGTGCATCTCGTACCTCACGGAGGCCACGCAATCACCGCCATTTGTTTGTTGCTGTGTCCAGTCTCTCTGTCTCTGCGTACACATAGGTTAGCGAGAGTGGACCCTAGACAGTGAGTTATTGTACTGTGGATGTGCAAGCTACGTGGTTCAAACTAGAGGGTGTAAACTACGTGGTGCAGCACACGTGGTGCAAGCTAGAGGTGTCAACGAAGCGGCCAAGGGCGGCACCGTGGCGAAGCCTCGCCCGACCCACCTAGCGCACGAGGTGGCCACGAGGCGGCCACGGGCGGCAACCTGGCGAAACCTCGCCAGACCAACCCAGCGCACGAGGTGGCCACAGGCGGCAACTTGGCGAAACCTTGCCAGACCCGCCCGGCGCACAAGTCCCCCCACGGGCCACCACAGGCGGCAACGTGGAAACACCTCGCCAGGCCTATCCAATTCGTTGGCGACGTAAGCAAGAACCTCCAAGTACAAGCACTGTTTGGGCAAGTGTAAAGCTACAAAGGATGCAGGCTGTACGGTGCAAGCTATGCTGTGCGAGCCCCGAGGCGGCCACGAGGCGGCCACGGGCGGCGACGCGGCGGAACCTCGCTATGCAGTGCAGCACACGCGGTGCACGGCAGAGACGTCCACAGGAGGCAGCGTGGCGAGACCTCGCCAGACCCTCCCCCTCCTCCTCCTCCTCCTCCTCCTCCTCCTCCTCCTCCTCCGCCCTCCTCCTCCTCCTCCTCCGCCCTCCTCCTCCTCCTCCTCCTCCTCCTCCTCCTCCTCCTCCTCACAAAGATGCCGCGGGCGGACGAGGCGGCCACGACGCGGCCACGGGCGGCAGCGTGGTGAACCCTCGGTGCACCGTAGAAATTTCTCGACACGCCCAGCCAACTCATCAGCATCACGTGAGCTCTTGCGCTGTGGATGTGTGAGATCTGTGGGTGCTTCAAGCTGCGTGGCGTAAGGGGCGTGGTGCAAGCTGGGAGGCGCAAGCTGCATGGTTCGAGGAAGATAACCACATAAACATAAACTCTTGGATGTCCGCGCGGATTTCTTGGATCCGCGCTAGGCCCCCCTGGCGGCGCCTCCGGCGCCGCCCCTGGCGCGCTCCGCGCGACAGGGAGTGGGGTCCAGCGCAGATCCAAGAAATCCGCGCGAACATCCAAAAGTTCACTATGTTTACGTGTGGTTTTTGTTTCGTCGAATGGTGCAAACTGTATGGGGCAATCTACGTGGTGCACGCAATGCGGTGCACGCTACGTCGTGCAATGTGTGTGATGCACGCTGCAGTGCCGTTTTTGATACATGCTCCGCGTGCGGGTCATGTATTAAAAATGCAGGAATCTAGTATCAAAAACAACGATGAGTTCATGCATACATTTATTCGTTAATTAAGCATTATTAAAAATCAAATATTTTGAAATCCTATGTATAAAAAACTGCCCTGTACACTGGGCGGCCACGGGGCGGCCACGAGGTGGCCACGAGGCGGCCACGGGGCGGCGGCGGCGGGGTGGCCACGCCCCTCGGCCCCGGGCGCGCGGCCGAAGGGGCGGGCGGCCACGCAGCACCTCCTCGGGCTAACCCACCCGACGCCCTGGCAAAGCAATCCCTCCTCCTCCTCCTCCTCCTCCTCCTCCTCCTCCTCCTCCTCCTCCGCCCTCCTCCTCCTCCTCCTCCTCCCCCTCCTTCTCCATATCGCTGTCCTCCCTCCTCATCCATCCCTCCCCTCCCTCCCTTCCTCCACCTCCTCCTCCTCCGCATCTTCCAGCATCCCCAATCCTCCTCCTCCTCCTCCGCATCTCCGTTTAGGACCCCGGAGTGCAAGCACGGATCAGGGAGTGCATACTCGGCGGCGAGCGAGGGGGGGACTTGAGAAGGAGAAGGCCTTCTCAGAAGGCGGCGGGACTCCTCAGAAGCCCTCGCGCCTTCTCAGAAGTTTTTGTTCTGTCTTCGGGGAAGGCTCGCCGAAGTCCGGGGGACTTCCGAGCCTTCCGAGAAGGCACGCCCCTTCTCGCTTCCCCCCCCCTGGCTCGCCGCCTACCCTGACCTTCCAGAGAGCTATGTTTTAGCACTGGAGACCTAGAAACCTTGAAAACTCAGCGAAACAGCCTAAAACCAAGATGTAGAACAGCTTTGGGATAGGTTTTTACGTCGGGTGCTATTGTTTTGCCCTCCTGGAAGGTCAGGGTATATACATGTGTTTAGGGATGTGTGCGCGCCGGCCGCAATGTCGCCCGACCGAGAGGCCAAACAGTGGGGCTGCTCAGCCGGCGTCGGGGGGGGGGGGGGAGCGCGTCGGTGTCGGTCAGATTTGCGGCCCTGGAGGGGCCCCGCGCCATCGTGCGGACCGTTCTCGCTTTCGCAAACAGCGCCGGCATTGAGCATTTAGGCCCGCTTGCATGCGCATTTAGATTTACAGATGCAGGTACACACACATATATATATACATATATATATATATATATATGTATGTGTATATATATGAATATATCGGAGGTGGGGGGGTGAGTCCGAAGTGGAACGCAGACCCCCCCTACCGGGAAATCGGTTTCGGTTTCGGGTTCGTGCCGTGCGTGCCGTGTGTGCGGGCGGGCGAGGCGAAGCTGCGTGGGCGGGCAAGAGGAAATCCTCCTGTGGCTGGGCCGCGGCAGGACCAAGTGATTCTCCTCCGGCGGCCGGTGGCTCGCGGTGTCCCGCTGGTGTCCCGTTGGTGTCCCGAAATCCTCCTGTGGCTGGGCCGCGGCTGGACCAAATGATTCTCCTCCAGCGGCCAGTGGCGCGTGGTGTCCTGTGGTGTCCCGTGGTGTCCCGTGGTGTCCCGTTGAGTGAGATCGATAGTGAGATCGATCGTGAGATCGATAACGAGATCGATGCTAAGATCGATGTGGTGCCCCGAGGTGTCCCGTGGTGTCCCAAAAAGTGAGATCGATAGTGAGATCGATCGTGAGATCGACAGGTGTCCCGTGGTGTCCCGTGGTATCCCGTGGTATCCCGTGGTGTCCCATTGAGTGAGATCGATAGTGAGATCGATAGTGAGCTCGATGTGGTGTCCCGAGGTGTTCCGTGGTGTCCCAAAAAGTGAGATCGATGGTGAGATGGACAGGTGTCCCGTGGTGTCCCGTGGTGTCCCGTTGAGTGAGATCGATAGTGATATCGATAGTGAGATCGATTGTGAAATCGATGTGGTGTCACGAGGTGTCCCGTGGTGTCCCGTGGTGTCCCGTTGAGTGAGATCGATAGTGAGATCGATAGTGAGACCGATCGTGAGATCGAGAGGTGTCCCGCGGTGTCCCGTGGTGTCCCGTGGTGTCCCGTGGTGTCCCGTTGAGTGAGATCGATCGTTGTACCGATAGTGAGATCGAGAGGTGTCCCGTGGCGTCCCGTGGTGTCCCGTTGAGTGAGATCGATAGTGAGATCGGTTGTGTCAGATGTTGGTTCCCCCCATCTCCCCCCCACAACCTCCTTCTCACCCGAAGGGTGGTCGTATAGGTATACATAGGTGTATCTATATATATATAGGTGTACATATATATATAGATATATGTATATGTATACGCATGTACTTACACAGATGCACATGCATACGTTGATGTGTAGAGTCATTTTACGTACATATAGAGAGATAGAGACAGATGGAAGAGCGCGCCACGGAGCCTAGGAAGAGAAAAAAGGGGGTCAGCTTTCGGTACGATCGACATGGGTACGGAAACAATGGGTACGAAGACCGACAGCAGTTCTTGTTCATGTTGCCCAGGACCCGATGTCGGTGTCGCCGCAGACGCTGTGCATCGAAACAGAAGGTCGCCTGCCCAACGGCAGCCGCTGTCGATTTTGGACAACGTTAGTTGTTGGGCACCGTGCCCATTCCAGGCGCGTCCAAAAGCTTCGAATTCCCCCCTCCTTCCAATGGGGGGAGGGGGCTTCCGAAGCGACCCCCCCCCCTCCCTGTGGGAAGCTGGGGCCCCCCTTTGAGAGGGGAGCCCCGGCTTCGGAAGTTCCCCCCGCGCCCCCCCTGATCGAAGCTGGGGTAAGACGACGTTTCCGTTTGCAGAGTTGGAGTGGGAGGCTCTGGAAGTTACCCCCCACACTCCTTGCTGCAAAGCAAGGAGGGTTTCGAAAGCCAGACCCCCACCCCCAGTCGGCCTCCAGGGTGATTGCGTTGCATCTTCGGGGGACCTCGCCGGTCCCCAAAATTGGTGTCTTTTCGTGTGCCCGACGCGGGCTCGATGCAGACTCGACGCGGAGTTGGCGTGGATTCGACGCGGATATGACGCGGATGTGACACGGATCCGACGAGGCCGACACGGACTCGACACGAATTCGACGCGGATAGGGCCGCGACGGGACAGTTCAGGCGGAGGAGGAGGAGGAGGAGGAGGAGGAGGAGGAGGAGGAGGAGGAGGAGGAGGAGGAGGAGGAGGTGGAGGAGGAGGAGGAGGAGGAGGGAGGAGGAACCTTTGCCATGTTTCTGCCTCTGGGGCGAAAGCCAGGGCCTCCCTCTCGAGGGGCGGCGCTCCAGAAGCTACCTATCCCCCCCCTTCCCCTTGCAGAGCACAGGGTCGCCGGTCAAGAGGGGCGGGGGTAGAGCTCCAGAGCCCCCCCCCCGGCCGCAAGCGTGCGAGGCGGGGACCTATCCATATCCACCACCTGGGAACAGATGTCCTCCTCCCTCCTCCTCCCTCCCCTCCCCCTCCTCCTCCTCCTGTTCCTCCTTTTCCTCCTCCTCCTCCTCCTCCACCTCCTCCTCGTCTTCCTCCTCCTCCTCCTCCTCCTCCTCCTCCTCCTCCTCCTCCTCTCCCTCCTCCCTTCTCGGGGCTGGGGGTCAGCCCGGGCTCCCCTTTGCAGAGTGGAGGTCCTCGTAAGTTGCCCCCCTCCTCCCTCCCCTTCGCGAATCTGCGCCACGTCTAGTCGTCGTCGTTCTCGTAGTCGTCGCCGTCGCCATCATCGTCGCGGTCGTCCTCGTAGTCGTTGTCGTTGTCGTTTTCGTCGGCGTGCGTCTTGTCGTCGTCGTTGTCGTCCTCGTCGCCGCTGTCGTCGTCATCGTCCTCGTCGTCGTTATTGTCCTCGTCGTCGCACGATGTTTCCGCCGTAGAGCAGAATCATCAACACACTGCGTTGCCACTTGACGAGTACTGTAGAGTGGTATGCTTCTAACCCCCTGCGTTGCCACGTGGTAGGTATAATCTAATCGTATTCGTTCTTCCTCACAGCGTTGCCATGTGACCACTCGAGCGGCATCGTAGTTGTCTTCGCTCTCTGCGGTCCCGTGCGACGAATACAGTCGACGATCGAGGACCCTGAGGCTTCCTTGGCGATCCTTGAGGATTCTGACTTTTGTCAGGCCCAAAGATGGGGGGGCGGATGGAGGGGGGCAGAGGGGGTAAGCTTCGGGAGGTCAAGGGGGGGGGGTCAGCAGCTTGTCGTCGTCGTCGTCGTCGGCGAGCGGGCGGACGGGCGTGATCGCACGTGGCGAGTAGAGAGGAAGATGAGTTGCTTCCCCATCTCCCCCTCTCCCCTCGTTGCCGTGTGACCCTGCAGCCGAGAATGCCATTTGCTTCCGCCCCCATGCGTTGCCACGAGGCCAGGGCAGCAGAGCAGTGTGCGCTTTCCCGCGCCCGTTCGCGGCCACGTTGCGAACATCATGGAGTAGCATTGTTCCCCAAGGTGGCGCCGCGTGAGTGAGTACGGTCGAATGGTGTGTGCGTGTGTGTGTGTGTGTGTGTGTTTGTGTGTGTGTGTGTGTGTGTCGTTTTCCGCGGCGCCATGCGACGAGCACAGTCGACGAGCGAGGGCTCTCGACGGATTTACTCCGTCGGACCCCCGGGGTTCATTGGGGCGGATCTCAAAAATGGAGGCAGTTGGGTGAGGGGTAGCTCGCCGTTGTCGTCCTCGTCGTCGACGTTGTCGTCCTTGTCGTCGTCGTCGTCGTCGTCGTCGTCGTCGTCGTCGTCGTCGTCGTCGACGAGCGGTCGGGCGGGCGCGCATGTAGCGAATCGAAATGAACCGCCCTTGCCAGCGCAACCTGCCAACCCAACCAGCCAACCAGGCCAACCAACCACCCCGCCACCCAGTTGACCCGTCGGCCAGCCACTCCAGCCAGCCACCCCGCCACCCGGCCAGCCCGCCAGCCCTCCCGCCCCCGCCGCTTGCCCTCCGTCACCGCCGAGAGGGGCGGGGGAAGTATGGGAAGCGTTTTTGTTCCCCAGCGCGAGCGAGAACAGGACGCTCTCCCGGGGTCGCGCGGGACATCGGGGGGAGGGTAAATTGCACCGTGCCGTAGGGGATCAGGCTTCGCGCCGCGGGGCGTCGGAGATGGTCTTGGGCCTCCATTGTGACGTTGTCTCCACTTTTTGAACTTTCACGGCCCCCTTTTCTTCGACAGAAAGGCTCTCAGCCTCTTCACTGATTTATGACAGCACGTGATGTTCTACACGAGCAGACCAGCGCACACTCAGCACAGTGTATACAAACGCACGTTGATACCATCGAGTTGAGCTTGACGAACATGTCGGGTCATTGGGGTTGCTCGTATGGCAGAAGCTGCGCCCTCCATGGGGCTGGGCGGGGTTTCCACGCTGGGGAAGAAACTCTGGAGGAACCTCTGGGGGGAACATGTAACGCAAAGTGTGGTCTTTCAGAGGACAGGTGGTGATGCAATGTCGGGGAGTGACGGGAGGCCCGGAGGAGGAGGAGGAGAAGGAGGTGGAGGAGGTGGAGGAGGAGGCGGAGGAGGCGGAGGAGGAGAAGGAGCGGAGGAGGAGGAGGACCTTCCCCTCCCCCCCCGCGGCGCGCTCTGGGGGCAGCGCTCGCCGCCCGTGCCGACGGGCCCCAGGACGGGCTGCTGCAGTGCGCCTCCATGCGCAGGCGGTCCTGGGTCGGCCGAAGGGCGACGGAGGGGAATGGAGGGGGAGGAGGGGGAGGGGCGGGGAGGGGGGGGGAGGGGCATGGAGGGGAGGATGGGGAGGAGGAGGAGGAGGAGGAGGAGGAGGAGGAGGAGGAGGAGGAGGAGGAGGAGGAGGAGGAGGAGGAGGAGGAGGAGGAGGTGGGAGGAGGAGGAGGAGGAGGAGGAGGAGGAGGAGGAGGAGGAGGAGGAGGAGGAGGAGGAGGAGGGGGAGGGGGGGAGAAGAAGGAGGGAGGAGAAGGAGGAGGAGGAGCAGGAGGAGGAGGAGGAGGAGGAGGAGGAGGAGGGGGGAGGAGGAGGAGGGGGAGAGGAGGAGGGAGCAGGGGGAGGAGGGTGAGGAGGAGGAGGAGGAGGAGGAGGAGGGGAGGAGGAGGAGGAGGAGGAGGGGAGGGGCATGGGGGAGGGGAGAAGGGAGCGGTGAAGGAGAGACGTCTGCATGAGTATGCACTTTCGTTGGTCCGCGCGGAGCTCTTGGATCGGCGCTGGCCCCCCCCCCCCCCTGGCGGCGCTTCTGGCGCCACCCCTGGCGCGCTCCGCGCGCCAGAGATGGGGGGGCGGCTGTCCAAATCAGATCCGAGAAATTCGCGCGGGCCTCCGACAGTTCATGTGCGTTCCCCCAGAAAAGGAGGAAGAGGAGGGAGGAGGGCCAGAGTACAGCCGAGACGCTGAGACAAGGACCAGGATGGGCTCAGGAGGGGTTCTGGTTTTCGGGCCGCTCCTTGGATCTAGGTCGGGGAACCCAGTCGCGGTCGAGGCTCGCCGTGGCTAGAAAGCTCGCTGGTTCATTGTGTTCGGCGACCCTCCTGGTAGCACGGTGGCTGTAGCGCACGAGGTGGATCACTGAGGCGAACGGTGCGCCCTTCCGTCCGACTCCCCCATCCTCCTCCTCCTCCTCCTCCTCCTCCTCCTCCTCCTCCTCCCCCTCCTCCTCCTCCTCCTCCGCCTCCTCCTCCTCCTCATTCTGCTGTCTGGCTGAGCATCCTTTCAGCACGCTGCCCGAGCTCACTCGGCACCTCCGCAGTCACGTCCCCCTTGTGAGCCCAACTATTCGGCAATGCGCTCGCGCGCTGACGTTCCGCCTCTCCGACGAGCAGGTCCGGGAGGCCACTGCGTGCTTAGAAAGAAGGGGGCATCTCAACATTGAGCTCGGCATCGCTCGGACGTGTGCACTTTTCCTTCGGCGAGGACCATCGAGGAGCATCCTTGACCATTTGGCGAACAAACCACGCACGAAACCTAAAAAAACACACGGAATGGACGTCCGAGCGATTTCCAGTGAGCGAGGGGACGAGGCCGCTCTGGCTCGGCAGCAGCTCTCCGAGTGCGCGGCGGCCGCCAGAGAGGCCCACGGCGCGGCGGCGTCGAGCCTCGAGCCGCGCAGCCCCAGCAGCGAGGAGCCAACAGAGGAGCGGCGGTGGAGATCGGGGGCAGGAACGAGGGGGCCATGTGGAACAGTGAGGATAGAGGAGGAGGAGGAGGAGGAGGAGGAGGAGGAGGAGGAGGAGGAGGAGGAGGTGGAGGAGGAGGATAGGAGGAGGAGGAGGATAGGAGGAGGATCGGAGGAGGGATAGGAGGGAGGATAGGAGGAGGATAGGAGGAGGAGGAGGGAGGAGGAGGAGGGAGGAGGAGGAGGAGGAGGAGGAGGAGGAGGAGGAGGAGGAGAGGAGGAGGAGAGGAGGGAGGAGGAGGGGAGGAGGAGGAGGAGGAGGAGGAGGAGGAGGAGGAGGAGGAGGAGGAGGAGGAGGAGGAGGAGGAGGAGGAGGAGGAGAGGAGGAGGAGGAGGAGGAGGAGGAGGAGGAGGGTGAGGAGGAGGAGGAGGAGGAGGAGGAGGAGGGGAGGAGGAGGAGGAGGAGGAGGAGGAGGAGGAGGAGGAGGAGGAGGAGGAGGAGGAACGCGGGGGGCGTTTCTTGCAGCCTCGCGCTCGCCGATGCGGCCCAGGTGGGACTTGCACGAGACGAAGCACTTCTGGTGCACGTGCGAGCGCTGCGGCGGAGAGAAGGAGCCCCTCCGCGCGCCCCGTCCCTGGCCGCCCGTGCGCGCGCCCCCTCCCCCTGGCATCGCTCGGAGGTGTGCATTTTTTCTCGGCGAGAACCATCCTGGACCATCCTGGACCTCCCCCTGGCATCGCTCGGACGTGTGCACTGCTTCCTCGGCGAGGACCATCGAGGACCATCCTGGACCATCGAGCGAACAAGCAAAAAACACGCCCGAAGCCGAAACAAAATGCAGGGGAAACGGCCGTCCGAGCGACGGCAGGTCCCCGGGGCCTCCCCCCCGCCCGCGGGCGCAAAACGCCGCGCGGCGCCCGAGCGGCCCAGAGCGGGTCCTGATGCAGAGAGCACGGGAGTGAACGTGCACGGCGACGATGCCTTCGGAACTTCGCTGGAGAATCTGGCTCTTCCCCCACCTCCTCCTCCTCCTCCTCCTCCTCCTCCTCCTCCTCCTCCTCCTCCTCCTTCTCCCCTGACCTTCCAGGAGGGCTAAACAATAGCACCCGACGTAAAAACCTATCCCAGAGCTATTCTACGTCTTGGTTTTAAGCTGTTTCGTTTCGTTTTTCAGGTTTTTAGGCCTCCAGTGCTAAAACATAGCTCTCTGGAAGGTCAGGGTCCTCCGCCCCCAGACATGTTGGCGTTATGGACCAAATCGCGACGGCGATGTGTCGCAGCTCTCGGTTTCTGCGGGTCCCTGCCGGGCTCGGGACCGTGAGACAAGTACTCGGAATGAAAAGCCCGCCCAGGGGACAGGGTCGGGGCTTCTGGTGACCCCCTTCCCCCCATCCCCTCCCATCCCCTCCCCTCCCTCCCGTAACCCTTCCTCTTCCAGCCCGCCCCCAATCGCTCCAAATCCTCCTCTATGAGACAATGCTTGATCCCCTAGCGATAAAGGGCAGTACCGGGGGGGGAGGGGACTGGGCCTGTAACGTCACGATTCGTGCCAGCTCGAATTTTGACGTTACCAGGGGGGGAGAGTGGGAGGGCAGGTGGCATCTGTAGTCCTCACAACAGCGTAGTCGCACCGCATGCATTGTACCACATCGGATGTGCCGCAACCCATGACGCCACTCAGGTTGCACCAATGAGGTCGCGCATCCAGAGTGCAGTGACAGACTGGTGTGGGCCCACGGTGGCAAACATTATCCAAGTGCCTGCGGCACGTCCCGCATCCATGCCAGCTCAGCAAGCTGGGTGTCGACTTGTCGAGGGCTCACGAGAGGCCTTCGCCGTGACGAGGATGATGTGGATGATGAGGGTGATGATGATGACAAAGAGGAGGAGGATGAGGAGGAGGAGGAGGAGGAGAAGAGGAAGAGGCGGAGGAGGATGAGCAGGAGGATGAGGAGGCGGAGGAAGCGGAGGGCGGGGGAGGGGGATCATTCGTGATCAGGGTGTGGAGCAAGCATGCAACGACTCGTGGAGTCATGTTGCAAAGCTGTGGCCCGTGTCGAAAGCTCAGGCTCTGCGAACTCTGAGGGGCATTCGCCCTTGGACCTGAGCCCTGTGCCCACCTGCCCTTGGACCTGAGCCCTGTGCCCTCGCCCAGGGGACCCGCCGCCCCTTCCGGGGCAAGCCGCACTACTAAGGGCACGCATCCCTGGCGGGCGCCCTCGTGGGGCCGAGACGCTTGCCCCTCCCAACCCTTCTCGGAGGACGGGGGGGCCCTTAAATTGACTGCTGCGATGCTAGGCTGGGCTGGCTCATGCCAAGCAACGCCATGCAATGCCAAACAGCGCCTACCAGTGTTGCATTGCATTCTGTGCTCGCGTCCCTCGTTGCTGGTTTGAACTGCGCGGGAAGCAAGAAGACCCCCCATGTGGCGTGCCGGGGAGCATGTGTGGGATGGACCTGCGGGAAGCGATGCGAAGCGAAGCGAAGCGATCGCCGGTCTCGTGCGCGCTCCTCTGTGGAGCCCGCCCGTGCTCATGAGTTGGGGCATGGCGCGGAGGCCGTGGCCTCGAGACCGTGCCGCGCGGGCGGCGGAGGCGGAGGCGGAGGAGGTGGCCCTGCAGAGGCCGTCAGCGGCCACCAGGCTCCGCGGCAATGCAGCGCTAGCCCGCCCCCTTGGGCCGAGCCGCGGCCGCG